ATCCTTTCCCTTCAGGTTAAGATTTCTGATGAATTCAGCAATATTGTTTCGGTGTTGCAACTGTTTCGTCTAAAAATGTCACATTATAACAGTGCGTGTCATGTGTCTCTCTACTCCTCTTCATTGCTTGCATAAAGAATTTAAATAGCTGCAACAATTCACCGTTACTGACCAACAGAAGAGAATAGTTGCAACTCAGGGTTGAACAGTGGGGTCCTGGGTGCCCTCTGAGTTTGGTGCTTGGTGCACTGATGACGTTACCTAGTTTGGTAATGAAATGTCTGCAAGAGAACCACCAAGCTCAGAGAGCACCCAGGACCCCACAATTATTGACCAAATTAAAAATAGCAGTATGCACTTCACTAGTCTAAATAGTAGATATGGAACCTGGGCATGTTATTTTCTGCATATGTATTGTCCTACTGAGCTTTAGTATTTCAGTGGGTCCTTCCTATATCACTAGATATGGTTGAGATTGTCCTATTTCTGGGTGGGGTGGGCAAATGCATGGCACATTGTTAGGGTTTTTCTTGGCATGGTGCAAACACAAAATCTGTGTTTTTTTCCTTACACAAGACTGTTTTACTGTACAAAATTAAACCCCTATCTTTCTGTTATTATAAGCTTACAGCTCTTTTTAAATCTTTCTCTTTTCCCCAGGACTTAAGTTCTTGTAGTGTATACTGCCTATATGTCCAATGAATCATTTCAGAGGGTATATATAGATTGTAACCTTGTGGGTCTTGGAGTCTCCTGTGTTATTTTTACAAGTAGCCAGGTAATTTATTATCAGTGGCATGCCAATTAAAGTTGATTTGTTACATCTCTGTCCAAATACTTGAGTTCTTTACTTAAGTAGATATTTTTCCATGATAACCTGGTGGATTCTTTCCTCCTGTTTTCCTAACAAGAACCCTGGTGAGGTGAGAATGACCAGCCCAAAGTTACCCAGATGGCTTTTGTGCCTAAGGTCAGACTAGAACTTACCATCTCCTGGTTTCTAGGCTAGCACCTTAATCGCTACACCAAACTAGCTCTCAATGAATTGGCATTGTTTATGACTATGGGCCATTGTGGAAGGAAAGTCAGTATTTGATTGCAGCAGGTTTTTAAACACAGGGGAAGCATAAGCACTTCAGAATTCTTTATCCTCTGCTTTTTGCTACGTCAATTTTTAGGATAAAGGGACATTCTAGCAATGATGCAGGAACTAAGCAAGCTGCCCTGGCAGAGACTGAAAGTAGCCATTAATTGTTTTGTGCTTTCCCCTCTTACACTGCAAAACAATCACTCAATTTCAATGATTAGTGGAAAAGGAAGAAAAGACATTTGACTGTGGTGCGGACATTCACAAATAGGCCTGTGGGTGTCTCTAGATGGTTGTCTCTTTTGGGATGATTAAACGCATACAGCATCAAATTCAGTCCTTTGATTTGCACCAGGATTAAATTAGGCCATTATGGCCGTGACTATTATTTGTGCTCTATGCCTAACAAATAATGCAGGCAGTGATTTGGGACTTCCTCCACATGGATTGGGCTATCCTGCTTGGCCCTTTGGGGACATATAATTGGATTTTATGGAATTGATATCAAGAGGCTACAAATATGTTTGCGTGATTGTGCTTTCTAAAGGAATGGAAGCCTTTCCTATATGGAAGACTGATGCCATGGCAGTGGCTAAAGTTTTATTACATCATCTGGTCCTTAAATATGGGATCTTCCACTTATCCTTTGGCTGTGGAACCCACTTCATCAATATCATTTCTGCTTTAGGAAAATCCTTGAATTTAGATCTTAAGGCTCCATGAACTTTCTACTCACAGTCCATTCTTCTGATAAAACAAATGGGGTCTTGAAAAATAAATGGGCCAGTCACCCAAGATTGTACTCTGTCCTGGCCAGGTGCCCGGCCATTAGCCTTAATGAGTATTTGTAATTAACCAAGTGGAATATTAGGGCTAACATTCCATGAGGTCACTATGGAATAACTATGCACACTCCACTGAATAGTTCAGTAATAAAACCAGATCCAGCTTTGTGGACGATGGATTTCTTCTTGACTGCAAGCTTCATTATTCTCCTTCATCAGCAGAATAAAAATACCGAGGCTATATACAAAGTGACAGACAGTAAAGGGAGAGGGAATTATTAAAATACACCAGTGGAAAATGCTAGGTGAAAAGGCCTTTATTATTGACTACAGTGCCAGGGGTAGTCAACCTTGGCACTTTTATGACTCGTGGATTTCAACTCCCAGAATTCCTGCGTCATGATGTGTCATGACGTATTGCAATTATTTTTTTTTTGCATTGCTGGAGCTGGGATGGGCGCGGCCTCCGCATGATGCAACTGGCCTGCGGGCCAGCAGTTTTGACACTCCTGGACTACACCAACAAATTTTTAAGTATGCTGGCCTTACATGGTGAATACAATAGGTCAAAAAAAAAAACCCCAAAAAGTTCCCCTCTTCCTTTCCCAGGCAAAGGAAAACTTTGCTCGATGGAGGACTAGCAACAAGCTCCAACTATCATTTGGTGTTCATGGCTATTGTATTCATTGCCAAAGTGATCTGGACAGGATGTTTTTCCTGTTGTTCCCGATTCGGTTGTAAAGCACAGAGACTTGAGATTTTGGGAGTGGGGTGGAAAATGGAGGAATGAACTTGTGGCTAGCATCTTTAAATGTCACCTCAGCTATTAGTAATAACCCAACTGTTGGGCATCAGTCACCCAGGCCATCCTAGCATTCCGATTACTGCTGATGAAACCCCAACCATCTGGATAGGACAGTTCTTAAACTATGGCAGAAATATGGTAGTTAAGGGGATGCTTCTGTCCAACTTCAGCTTGTCACCTCCTCAATTGGAAACTATCTCTACTTGGGTATCTCGCCAAAATCACCAGAAGGCAAGACAAGAAACAATGGATGGAAACTACCCAAGGAGAGAAGCAACCCCCAGGGGGAGAGCCTTCTCTGTGGCAGCTCCTGCCCTCTGGAATGACCTACCCCCCGACCTACGTACAGTTGCGGACCTGCGCCTTTTTCACCGATCCCTGAAGGCCCATCTATTCCGTGCGGCCGGCCTGGCGTAGTTTGATTATGTTTCAGTGGGGTTTTTTGTATGGGTGTGTTTTTAGAACAGGCCTATTATTTAATTCGATTTTAGAACAGAAACTATTTATTTATTATCGTGGTTTTTAGTATCGCCTGTTCACCGCCCTGAGTCCCGTAAGGGAGATAGGGCGGTATATAAATTTAATAAATAAAATAAATAAATAAATAAGGAGAAAGTTCCTAACAGTGAGAACAATTAACCATTGGAAAGGCTTGCCTTCAAAAGTTGTGGGTGCTTCATCACTGGAGGTTTGAAATGGAATAGGGCAGTGATGGCGAACCTTTTAGAGACCGAGTGCCCAAAAACTGCCCCTGCTCCACCTGTCCCGCCCCCGCTCCGCCTGCCCGCAGGGCCACTCACCGCCTCCAGGGCCCGCCGCAGATCGCCCAGCAGTGCCATGGTGGCCATGCCCTCTGCCTGCGCCCTGCAGCATCAACTGTGCGTGATGGGGTGTGAGGGCAGAGTCTTGACTACGCTGCCTTGCTGCCATGTCCTTGGCTGCACTGCTCTGCGTGGGCTACGCTCGGGGATGACTCTCCTCCAGGGGGGCTGCTGGTGAGGGGGTTGCGAGGGGAGGCAAGGCTGGGGCAACGGCACGTATGCCCACAGAGAGGGCTCCGAGTGCTGCCTCTGGCACCCATGCCATAGGTTTGCCACCACTGGTATAGGGTCTTTTGCTTGAGCAGGGGATTGGACCTCCAAGGTCCCTCCTGGCTGTATTCTGATTCATTGATCTGATTGAAAACCATACCAAGGATTCCACCCTAGCAGTACCTGTGTGAATAGGTTGTGACAATATTATAGCCATTATACCTACTGGCACTGTTGTTGTGGGAAGGGTTCTAATACAAGTAGGCCTCAACTTATAGCTTATTTGTTTAGTCAAAGTTACTAAACCACTGAAAAAAGCGGTTTATAATCAGTCCTCACACCTACGACCATTGCATCACCCCCATGGCCATGTGATCAAACTTCAGGTGCTTGGCATGCATTTACAATGATTGCAGGCGTCCCAGGGTTATCTGATTGGCATTTCTGACTTTCTCAGCTGGCTTCCAACAAGCAAAGTCAATGGCGGGAAGCCGGATTTGCTTAACGATCACACAATTCACTTTAACAACTGCACCGATTTGTTTTGACAACCGTGGCAAAAAAAGAAAACGTTATAAAATCAGGTATGAGGGTGACCCCCTGAACTACCATGCTTAGCAATGGAAAATCTGGTCCTGATTGTGGTCATGAGTATAGCAAAGAAAATGGCTGCTGAATAATATGCTGGCTTTGGCATTTAATGTTCAATTGGTAGGTTTGAATACATGTTGACCGTTGGATTCTGGACTGCTTGTTAATACTACAGAACCCATGAGTCCTGAGAATTACACTCACATGGTACAAGGAGATGCTATCAACTATCTTATGTGGGCAGCAGTCTGTGAAAAATATGGTAATTAATTTGGACCAATGACATGTCAATGACAATCTTCAGAAGCCGAAAGCCCCAGATGGGCTTCCTGGTCATCATTACAAGAAGGAATAAAGGGAATGAATCCAGCTCTTTAAACTTTCTACTTTAAATTCAATATCAAATCACAAAGTTACAAGCAAAAGGACAGGCAAATAATGCATGCAAATAATGAGTTCATGTCCTCCCGACAAAAAATATCTATTTTGGCAACCTGCTACAAGTCAAAAAAGTGTAATAAAAAGCAAAACCAGAGTGTCTCACTGAAAAAAATAACTGCAGATGAATCATTGAAACTCTTAAATGACTATAGAAGAGACTGATAAGCCTCCATCAATAAAACCATTTTCTGCCCATTCAGAGCAACCTAAAGAATACCTAGAGGTAAGCATGTCTTGTTTCAAACAAGTAAGACACAGAAGAGATTACATTGAGTTTTATTTGAGAAAAGCATCATTGCGTCCTTTCTTAAAAAGAAAAGGGGGTGTTTAACATACAGAACTAAGGCATAATTTGCAAGGAAACGACATTATTATTGTAAACATTCAGCGGCAGCATTCCAAACAATGTATGTCCTTCGGAGACATCACAGTTTTTCTTCATCTTTCACACTTCAAAATATTTAGTAGAAAGCTAAACATGAGTCTTGGATGACTTGGTACAGAATTGTTTCCAAGACTGTGTACTATGTAATCGTTCAAACAGGATTGTGATGCCTTGCAAATTCTCAGAAACATCACCAATCTAGATTCCGTTATTCTGCTGCCTTTGCTAGAAGTAAATGGTGTATTGGAGTCTTCAATAAAAGGTGGTTGCAAAACTTACAGCATTTTTTCTGAAGTGACATAGTGTCACTTGGTTTGGAGAAGCTACCACAGCCATGAGGGCCCCAAAAAACTTCTAACGGAAATGGAGTTGCTTAACACTCACTATTAGGAACTGAGGGAACACATGATTGAGTCCTTTGTGGTCTTTAAATGTCGTTATTCTTTACCACACAAAACCCACGTATCCTTGTTGCTGTCCAAAACCCCCCCTCAAAGCCATTTAACTAAACAAATAATAAATCAACCGAGTCTACTTATCTGCTACATAACTCTTTAAAAAACATGTAAAAAGAAAACAAATCTAGCAATTCATGAAGTCCAGCATTCTAAACTGAAAACACAAAAGAAAACAGATTTGACATTAATAATAAAAGCAAATATTTTCTTAACAATAGGCTAAATACATAAAAACCGTATCATGTCACTTTGGAAAATCTTAGCCAGGAAACCTTTAAAACAAAAAAGTGCAACCTGTAATTGCTCTTATTTTTAAAAAACGTCAGTAATTTTCTATTAAAAAGCATAATAAAAAATGCATTTAATCTCCATTCAAAACCATTTTTTTGCATTATAAAAATGCTATTGAATGGCAATCTACTACTACAACCACTCTGGGAGTGGTCATTTGGGGTGAGCAAGGGCATATAAACATACCTTGTTTAGCTTTGCCATGTTTGAATTGAGTTATGATCTAATATTTGAGCTAGAGGTTATAACCTTTTTTTTTTTGCCTCTTTCACATCAGTGGAGCATGATTATCAAGTACCAGCTACTGTGTTCAGTCTGAAATGTCAATTTTAAGAATTAATTACTTTTCAAATCTGATGTGAATGTTCTGTTCTTCAGCCTTTGCAAGATCTTATTCCAAAAGAAGCATATTAGCAGATGGAAATGAAAAATGCTGCATCCATTAAAGGCATTCTTTAAAAGTAAACACGCCTATCTTGTGATCTTCAAGTACCATATCTTGCTAGGTTTTCAATGTTTTGGTAGCATAACGGATAACTGCACAGTATTCTGAAATACAAGAATCAGAACAAGGGGGGGGGGGAAGCTGTATTAAGAAACAATTATTTAAGGTTTGTAATTATCATACAGAAGTTACGGCCTATCTGAATAAAAGCACTACAAAATAGCAACAGATTTTTGGTAAAAGATAACAAAAGATATGCACAAAAGTTATGAGATGCCAAATAAGAGCCTTAATTCACTTCAACACCTAAAGGCTTTGTTGCTTGAATCCTGCTTTATACCTCACAATATTAGTGTTTTACGTCATTGTTACTATGAATCAGAAACAAATACAGATAGATTTCGACTTGCAAGTTTGTTTAGTGACCAATTTAAGTTAAGTGTTCAGCAATAGAAATTTTGGGCTCAATTGTGGTCGTAAGTCGAGGACTATCTGTAAGGAAAGAGGTCAACTAAAGTGTGTTTTCTCCCTACAAAATACCATATTTTGTGTTCCATATCTACAACATTTCTTCTTACATAGGGAAGGAAATAAAATATTAATCACACTTGCCTCTCTCTCTCTTTTAGAATACAGAAGGGAAACTTGTGATTTCCCAGATGTTGCTGCAGTACATCTTGGCATGTCTTATCATTGGTTAATGACCTGGGATTAAAACTTTAACAACATATAAGAGCCATAGTTTTGTGGCCTTCTGACAAGCAGTCAATGGACAAGCCAGATTCAACTAACTGCGTTACAAACGACTGAAATGATTCACTTAACAGCTGCCTCACTTAACAACAAAACTGTTGGGCTCAATTGTGGTTATTAAGTTGCGGATTGCCTGTACTGTATCAACTGTAGTTAGTACTTATTGCATTGGAGCTTTTCAATGTAAGCTCGACTTACGCTGGGGATGGGCAGGGATGGGCCTTCTCTCATTAAAAGTACCCTGGAAGCATATTTTTTTTTAAAAAAACAACAACACATATACCTAAATAATAAATTAAATAGAAACACCAAATTACTTTCAAGTTCTGATGGGTTTCTGACCATTCCATGGATCCAACCTGTGGTATGGCAGTGAGTAGCAAACTAGTTGCTTTGTTTGCGTTCTCCTTCAGGGTCTTCAAAACTCTGTCTACTGAGACCTACAAGAACAAGACAATCATTTTATATATATATATATACAGGAAAATGTGTACAGGTAGTCCTTCATATATGACCATTCATTTAATGGCGGGTCAAAGTTAAAATGGTGCTGCAAAAGTGGCTTATGACCAATACTTACGTCATGGTCACATGATCAAAATTTGAGCACCTGGCAAATGGAATATATTTACAACAACTGCAGCATCCCGAATCATCCCAGGGGGTTTCCAACAAGCAAACTCAATGGGGAAAGCTGGATTTGCTTAACAACCACGGTAAGGTAAAACCTTGTACAACTCACTTAGCAACCTCGTTACTTAGTGATGGAAATTCTGGTCTCACTTGTGGTCCTAAGTCAAGGACTACTTGCAAATGTATCTGTAAGTAAAGGCTAAAAAATGTCCTGGGATTAAAAAAAAAAAGATTTTAAAAATGAAGAGTAGATTTTTCTGTCTCTCCTCTATGCCCAGATAGATTATTGCTTCTTGAAAGCTATAATCACTATTCAAAATTAATCACAAAATTCTTCCATAATTTATCTATAACAGGGGTCCCCAACCCCCGGTTCGTGGCATGCCAGCAACCGGGCTGCACAAACAAGCAAAGCCCCATCCATGGGATGCAGGCAGCACACAAAGCCATGCCCCCGGTCCCTGGTGCCCAAAAGGTTGGGGACCTCTGATCTAGAGGGTTAACACCATTTTCAAACGCTTAGACTTAGTTGTGATCTCCTTGGTAAAACACATTGAAAAACAGGAAGGGATTCTTTGCTTTTAGCCCAATTGTTAATAAAGGACTTCTGCAAGCTCCCCCCCCCAAAAGCTTTATGTACATTGTAATGACAATTTTATCTTTAACATGATTTACCACAGTTGAATTATAAGCTGTGTGATCTTCCCTATGTCTTTTGCACAAATAAAACTTATAGCCTCGTGGTCTATTTAAACTCCACTCACATTTGACCCCCCATAAATTAACTGAATGAAGTCAGTTAACATTTTCCTAGTGAATAAATCACCTACAATTTTTCAATTATAGATTTCTCAAATGGAACTCAAAAGACGTCCACTTGCAATTTTAGCACATTTAAGATCTTTACTATATTTACTAAAACCCTACAAAATAGTTTGTGTTATCATTATATTACAAATATAGGGTTGACAATAACTTGCCCATGTCACTTTACCAGTGAAATTATTTCAAAATAAATAGCTGGGTTAGCAAAAATATTAGTTATGTTAAGGACCCTATCCCTCACCCATGTGAAATCTTAAAGACTGACAGATTTACAGGACTAGATTTTTTTTTTTAGGAAAAAAATCAACTTTATCAGTGATTTGCAGATGCATGCACCCAGAAAAGGATCACAGGAAAACAAAATGTAGAAAACATGGGCAGTGATCATCATATTATTAACTGTGGACAATGGACAAAACAGCGTATGTAGACCACTCATATTTCCTGGTCCTGAGTACCATGGAGATAGAATTAAAACTGCTTCACCAGCAGCAATTCAGCACTTTCACACTCCCCTCCAAATTTAATTTCAGCTGTGAAAGAGACAGACTGCCTAAAATTATCTACAGCTGTTTGACAGAGCTGAGAGTGACACAAAGTTTTAGAGTCTGGAATACTCCTAGCTGGTTTGATAACTCCATTTCCATTGATTTTTCATTTCTGTTCTCCTAATTATAGGTGGCTATTCTGCAGGCATTAAGTCAATTTTCCTTTGGATATTTTGTTGATGGTTTTTTTTTTTATTTATTTAAAAATTCCTCCTCCCACTGACAGATATTTTTCTTTCTGGATTATTTGCACTACCGCCCTCCTGTGGCTACAAATGTACCTACATTTGGAGAATGAGCCATCACTAAAGTTTATAAATTAAGATGTTCCCAATAATGCTGAACTACAATTCCCAGCATCCATCACCACTGTATGTAAAATATCTGGAATTCTACGGATTGTATATCCCCGAGAAAGCAATCAGACTATCTAGGAAGGTAGATAGGTAGAAGAATCATTGGCAAACATTGTGTTCAAAATATAGCAACTTCTCTTTTTGATTGGGAATTCCCTTTACAGCCGGGGTGTCAAACTGCCGGCCCGCATGCGTCACGCGGAAGCCGCGCCCACCCCATTGCCGGCAATGGCAAAACAGTCCTGATACGTTGCGCGACGTCACGAGTTTGACATGTTTGCTTTACAGGCGTGGTCAGCCAATTAAACACAGGATCATCCAAGCAACAGCAACAATAGTGAACAGCTATTATGGTAGGGCCTTATAACTTATTTTAATATAAGATTAACGGAACTTACAGAACTGATGAAATTGACCAGTCTGGTCCGGGGGGGGGGGGAATTTTTTTTTAAACAAACAAACAGCAAAACCTTTTATTAACTTTTTGTTGAAAGATGAAAAGACTGAATTGATTGTTTGGGTAAAACTTATAAAAAGAAGGATAGAAGGCATAACTGTATGTTTTCTTCTCTTTTCATTCCCTTTATCATACTATCTTTCCTTTGTATACTTTTACTGTACAAAAAAAATCCATACATGTATAAACACACACACACCATTGCCTTAAGCTGTACCTCCTAATAGATGAAGACCCTTATCAAGCACTACTTAACTGTCTGAGTGGAATGGGCAGAAGCTACTGAGGAAAAGCAGTCCCAAAGCCATCCAGGCCTCATGCTATTTGGCCTTTAATTGGAAACCAGCACCTTGAATTGCACTTGGAACCTTACTATGAATGAGCAGAGTTTGTGCAGCAGGCATGTAACATGGCAGTTCTGCAACTAACTGCCGCTAAACATGTATGTGTTTGGGACCAGCTGAAGGGAAGACCCACAGTAAGGTACAGTACTGTACCCTACCCTACCCTACTGTAATCCAATATGGTTGTTCCATATTTGACTGGGTTTTTCACAGCCTCACCAGTTGTAGCCTTACCTGGTATAAGATGCGTTGAAGATGCTATCTCTCAATAACAAATGCATGAGTGGCCATCTTCAACGCATCCTATACCAGGGAAGGCCAGAACTGGCATACCAGGTGAGGCTGTGCAAAACCCAGTCAAATATGGAACGACCCTGCATTGAGTCAGCCTTTCTACCTTGGTTGGGTTGAGTTGGATTGAGTCTATTTTTCCCTGTTCAAACCCCGACGTTTTGCAGACTGTATGAGAGATAGAATTCCTGAAATATTCAGATACGGATAAATGAGGTGATTCATTTTAATTGGTTGCTTTTAGTTTCATTAATGTTTGCATTCTGGCCCTGTTCTTTTATGGCTTGTAACAAGCATAAATACACAATCACACCCATACACGAACATATGCATATATATATTGACAAGTACGTCACATGCACTCATTTCTTCTCACATCCAAGAAGCTGGAGGCTGACGAGTGGGGAAGAAAACAATTGACAGCGCACAGATTAACAGCGTCTGTAATTTTTCCATCTTTTTTGGGGTGTGTGTGTGTGTGTGAGAGGGATTCATATAAAAACGACATGCAGAAAATGGATAGCTCAGCCAAGGGATTTGGCAAGTAGCATCATTCCAATTTTTGTGTCTATACTCCTGAAAAACATATCCCTCCAAGGAAAACAGCAACTTCCACTCACCGTTTCTTCATGTTCTTTCCAGCAGTCGTAATCGGTTGCCATGGCAATGCTCGCATAGCAGATTCCCGCCTCCTTTGCCAGAATGACTTCTGGGACTGTCGTCATATTGATAACATCAGCTCCCCAGTTGCGAAACATCAAGCTTTCAGCCCGAGAACTAAAACGTGGTCCCTCGACTGTAATTACCGTCCCCTTTGAGTGACACTTGATTCCAAGCTTTTTGGCAACATCCAGGAGAACCTGAAATCATCAAGGGAGATGAAAAAGCCACCACTACCTATCCCTGGGGGGGGGGGAGAGGAGGCTGTCATTTGAACCCCCTCTGAATATTAACTAACATCTCTTGCAGAATATCAAGATCATCTCTATTATCTCAATTTTTCCTGCACCTGCAACAATGCTCAAGTGTATAAAAGCACAGCTTGAGAACAGCAACAAATTAATGCTTTTTTTTTTTTTTTTTTTTTTAAAAGGTTATTGCTTTATTTACCCTGGGAACATACTTGGTTTTCTGTCAGGCCGACAACAGCCTCATTTGACTGGGAAACGATATGCTAGGAAATAGAATAATCGAGGGGCTGGGGGCTAAGAAAAAAACAGAAGTTGACTGAATTTATATTCAGTTGAAATGTAAACTTTATTCCCCATTCTTCAATTTCTGTGGCTTTGAGAATGTGATGCTGGGCACATATGGAAGGCTATTGGGGGACCCCTTGTGGTCATGGAGATTGAGGTGACATAACCCCAGATCAAGACCATCGTAGATTTCTTCAAGCAAATGCAATTCTCCTGTTATTTTTATTTTCTAGTTCGAAAATGCTTGCTGAACTATGTTCTAACATGCTGAAAATCTAAAAGTGGATGAATGTATCCAGTTTACTTTACAGCAGTTGATGGCATAAGCCAGGATAAGGTAACCCCCCCCCCCAAACATCGCAATTCTGACAAATATGGATTCTGAAAGAGGGAAGATTAAAATATCTGTTCTCTCCCTGCTAGCTTGTCCCCTCCTGACTTATATCACGGGGATTAATTTTCCCACAAGGCTATTTCTTCAAGGCCGAGGATCCGCTTTCTGTCAGTGCTTAAGGATGCTAATTTTGGATGCTCTGATTTCTGTATGGAGAATGTCCTACAGCTACCCTGCCTTTTATTTCCTAAGACTCATTCTTGCAAGACTTAAGGCCACAGAGTCCTTTTAGTACAGGATACTCTTGGCTTCTGCTCCCAAGAGTCTTCTATGTCGTCCCCAGAGACTTCTGGATTTTGCAGAAACAAGATAGCAGCTGCAATGTGGGTAAATCCCTACTCACGGCCACTCATACCCTAGTCACCTCCCGTCTAGACTATTGCAACGTGCTCTACATGGAGCTGCCCTTGAAAAGCATCTGGAAGCTGCAGTTGGTGCAAAATGCAGCAGCCAGCACGATCTTTGTGCAGACCTCAGTGTGCACGTGTCACCTCTCCTGCGGAAGCTGCATTGGTTGCCAATTTCCTTCTGGGTGCAATCCAAGGTACTGGTTGTCACCTTTAAAGCTCTTAATGGCATGGGTCCAGGTTATCTGAGGGAACATCTCTTGTGGGTCACATCCACCTGACCCACTAGAGCAGGGAGGCAAGGAGATACATCTGGCGGGACCCAGAAGAAAGGCCTTCTCTGTAGTGGCTCCCTCCCTCTAGAACAGGGGTAGTCAACCTTGGCTCTTTTATGACTCGTGGACTTCAACTCCCAGAATTCCTGAGCCAGCTGTGCTGGCTCAGGAATTCTGGGAGTTGAAGTCCACGAGTCATAAAAGAGCCAAGGTTGACTACCCCTGCTCTAGAACATCATTCTCCGGAGACCAGCCTCCACTCTAACACTCTTTCGGAAGGCCCTGAAAACGTGGTTCTGCCAGTGGGCCTGGGGAACCCAGAGTGGGATGGAGCCCATTAAATGGCTGGTGTGCGTGTGTGTTGTCTCCGGGTGGGGGGTTATTATTTTATTATTTTATTTTTATTTTTATTATTTTTATTATTTTTATTATTTTTATTATTTTTATTATTTTTATTATTTTTATTATTATTATTATTATTATTATTATATTGTGGTTTTATTTTCTGTAAGCCGCCTTGAGTCGCTGTGAGTGAGCAGGCAGCAATATAAATTTTCCAAATAAATAAATAAATAAATCAGGGTAGGCAAGTGGGGAAGGGACAGGGAGAACTATAGCCATAAAGACCTTGCATTACTTACTGCAGTATTTCTCAACCATTCAGATGTGTGGACTTCAACTCCCAGAATTCCCCAGTCAGCACGTTAGCAAGGGAATTCTGGGAGTTGAAGTCCACGCATGGTAAAGGTGTCAAAAGTTGAGAAACCCTGACCTAGAGATTACCGACTGCCCAACGATCTCACTGCTATAATTTCTGACATGACAAATAACGAAAGGGAGAAGCAGCTTTATGCAATTTTCAATCATGTGTGCAAGATTACAAGATAATTCATCTAGCACTATTATGTAAAGCAGAGGAGGGAGGCTTTATGTGTTGTCTAGTATCCACCCAGCCGCATATGTTAGTAGCAGAATGGTAGGAAAATGGGAACGGTGGGGAAATATTCATTGCTCAATCACAGACTGGATCCTATACAGGTAGTCCTCGCCTTACGACCACAACTGAGCCTGATGTTTTTTTTGTTGCTAAGTGAGACAGCTGCTAAGTGAATTTGCCCCATTTTACAACCTTTCTGGCCACAGTTTTTAAATGAATCACCGTAGTCATCAAGTTAGTAACACAGCTTTTAAGTGAATCACGCTTCCCCACTTACTTCACTTGTCAGAAGGTCAATGAACCTTGGGAAATTCCAACCATCCTTAATACACGCCAGCTGCCAAGCGTCTGAATTTTGAGCACGTGACCGCGGCGATGCGGCAGCGGTCACAAGTATGAAAAACAGTCACAAGTCACTCGTGTTGTTGTAACTTCGAATGGCTTGAATGCTTACTAAACGAATGGCTGTAAGTTGAGGACTACCTGTACTAACTTCAATAACGTAAGGCCTACTAACTTCTCTTGTTTTGGCACAGAAAGGTTCCGCCATAGAAACATGGCACACTCCTGGGAGGCAGGAATTGGTCCCGTCATAGAAAGTGAGATGCCTTTTTGTGGTCCTGCAAAGAAAAAAAAAATACTACTCAGAGAAGAAGACAACGTAAGACTTGTATTAAGCCTTGATGTAAATCATGAGTATCCGACCTTTTGGCTTGCCTTGAATGAACAGGAACTGTCTTGGGCTGTATATAAAATATATAATATAGCTAATGTACGATGATACAAAATCACACAATAATGTTAAAAGTTTAGGATTTTGTGGCTTCCCCATTGACTTTGCTTTTTTTTTAAAAAAAAAAAAGTTTTTTAATTGATTTTCTAGTTTTACATTTAAATATTTGTAAAGCAACGTGGCGGCTGGGTTGATTCATAATTCAATAATGTACAAATTTCTTTAGTACACTGACTTTGCTTTTTAGAAGGTCGCAAAAGGTGATCACATGATCACAGGACACGGCAACGGTCATAAATATGAGTCAGTTGCCAAGCGTCTGAATGTTGATCATGTGTGACCATGGGGATGCTGCAATGGTCGTAAGTATGAAAAACGGTCATAAGTCACTTTTTTGCAGTGCCACTGTAACTTCAAACAATCGAACAATCACTAAATGAAGTCAAGGACTTAATGTTAGAAGAAATAATATTGTCATAGGCAAATTAATGGGAAACAGGGCAAACCATACCATCCAACTGAAACCAGACTTTGTGCAAACAAAACATACCCACATCCATCTTGCTGGGAAGATTGTAATAACTGCTCTTCTTCCTTCCTAAATTATACCGGACAACCACAGTAACAGAATTACAGTTTGTTCTCGGGGGAGGAAAAAAATGAAACGTATTCGGTCAGACGCATAGAAAGAGGCCTTAAACAGAAAACTGATGATTAGAAGACCAGAAGTAAAAAAAAAAGAGATGGAAAGGAACCAAAATGCTTTTCAATTTGTAAACCAGAACTGGCAAGAAAAACATATCAAGACCGTGTCACGCCTTAAAAATGCACACAGAATGCTATTTCATCAGCCAAATTCAGCTGAAACATTTGTGAACATACACAGCAAATGGACTGGGGGGGAAAAAAGAAGGGAGTACAGCTAAAAACAGGCTCAATGCACTCCTGCCAAGACTTCAGAACGTCAACTCTCACCAACCCTGTCAGCATTACCAAAGGCAAAGAATGGGAAGAGTTGTTCATTCCAAACATCTGGAAGGGATCAGATGGCCACTCGTAATGCAATTAGCAGGGAACAGGAACATACATATACATCACTCCTACCAATATGAAATGGCCTCTTGACAAATGACTCTGCTAAATGAGTAAGAGAGAGACATTTCAATAGCTTTGCTGCAAAGTTCTGAGTAATTATTAGACATGCAAGAAATAGGCAGACTTGCAATACAATGATAGACTGCTCCAATAGGATTAAAACTCCCAGAATTCTCTGGCAATGGCTATGCTGACCAGGATTCTGGGAATTGCAGTTCTAACATGCGGTGGGCATCAGGGAGGGGGCACAATGTACAGCTGCAGCAAAGATGATTGGAAGAGTGAAGATTTTGGCCGTACTTCATACAGTAAGAAAACCAACCTGGTGCAGTGTTTATTTTATTAATACAGCTGCATAACTCTTGCTGTGACAATAAGCAAATTGGATTACAGCTACTCTTGGATCACAGTCTTCTTCAGAAACTAGCATTTTCCCCGGGAATCAACTAGTTCAGATCATGGTTTGATTCTTGAAAGGCTGAAGTTATGTTTAAATCAACTGCTTGCATATGCTCAAGAACCCTGCTTGGAGTTCTTGAGATGCGATGTGTATCTTTAAACTAGAATCCACCAACTTCACTTCAAAATGTAGCTTTTGCAGCAGTTGAGAAAAGAGTCTCAGAAATGTAGCTTTTAGAAAGGAGATTTTAAAAATTGATATTATGAAGTTTAGCCCATTATAAATAGTTCTGCCAGCTATTCTAAAACCTGGGAAATTTACCCCAATCATTTCTTCCAACCCAAATGTCAACCAACTTCACATGCAAAGTCATTGGTCAGGCGCACTTAATAACCACATGATTCACTTAATAACTAACAGCTATGGCAAAAGGTTACAAAGTGGAGCACAACTCACTTAAAAAGTTGCTTAGCAACACAAATCCTGGGCTTCGTTGTGGTCATACATCAAGGATTGTTTTGGTGATATAAGATGCCAGTTGACTTAGTGACTTTCGGAAGAGATCATGCAGAAAATATGACAGATTCTGATGGATTGTGTATATGAAGGAACAGGTGTTGTGATGGAATACAGTGAAGCAGTAGGTTCCCAAAAAGGAGGGAGCACATTCCAAGGATGGGGGCGCACAACCAGAGACAACACAGCCTGGAGTTGGACTGAAGAAAGCAGAAGAGATTTAGGATAGCCACTCCCTAGAATCTCCCAGGGTATCTCCCTCTGGGTTGAGAGTAGTATAGATTTAGTCTGGCAAGATTCTGTCTACATGGTATAAGCAAATCAAGACCTGAACTTTGGCTGGATTTTTTGTGACTATGCCATTCTTGGGCTTGGCCGGACACAGATGGATCTGGATATGTCAATTTGCAGACGACACCAAGCTGGCAGGAATAGCCAACACTCCAGAAGAGAGGCTTAAGATACAGAAGGATCTTGAGAGACTTGAACGTTGGGCACTATCTAACAAAATCAGGTTCAGTGGTGAAAAAAGTAAGGTTCTACATTTAAGCAAGAAAAACCAAATGAACAGGTATAGTATAGGGGGTACCTGACTCAATAGTAGTAACTGTGAGAGGGATCTTGGTCTTAATGGACAATCACTTAAATATGGGCCAGTAGTGTGCAGCAGCTGCCAAACAAGCCGACACGGTGCTAGGCTGCATTAACAGAGGGATAGAATCAAGATCACGTGAAGTGTTATTACCACTTTATAATGCCTTGGTAAGGCCACACTTGGAATACTGCATCCAGTTTTGGTCACTACGATGTAAAAAAGATGTTGAGATTCTTGAAAGAGTGCAGCAAAGAGCAACAAAGATGATTAGGGGACTGGAGGCTAAAACACCTGAAGAATGGTTGCAGGAATTGGGTATGTCTAGTTTAATGAAAAGAAGGAGTAGGGGTGACATGATAGCAGTTTTCCAATATCTAATGGACTGCCACAAAGAAGAGGGGGTCAACCTATATTCCAAAGCGCCTGAAGGCAGGACAAGAAGCAACGGATGGAAACTAATCAAGGAGAGAAGCAACCAAGAACTAAGGAGAAATTTTCTGACACTTAGAATAATTAATCAGTGGAAGGACTTGCCTCCAGAAGTTGTGGATGCTCCAACATTAGACATTTTTAGGAAGAGCATTTGTTTGAAATGGTATAGGATTTCCTGCTTGAGTATGGAGGTTGGACTAGAAAACCTCCAAGGTCCCTTCCAACTTTGTTTTTCTGTTTGTGTGTCAACTGCAAGAAGCATGAACTGGGTCTGTGGGCAATGGCAGAAGAAATCAGGCATTGAAGTCTGACTGGAGCTGGGCTTTTATAACAGAACGGCTCGCTTTGTAAGAACATTTAAGAGCCATTCCTATTTTTTAATAAATACCATAATTATTTCTACAGAGTAATAAATGAAATTTGACAGCTCAATTGCACTTTTCGTTTTGTTTCCCCCCCCTTCTTTTTGCTGTCTTTCAACAGTAATTCATTTTGTGAAAAAATAAAGGGAGGAAAAAGAGACCAAGAGTTGGTATCAATGTGCTTTAATCCACTGATCAAAACATAACAGTCTGTATTGTAACTCAAATGCTGGTCTAACCTAACTGAGAAAACTAGGTTGTCTAAAAAAAAAAATGCAGAAAATTTTTCTTCCTCTCCATCACATATATTAAAAGTTAAATGGACAAACCTAAAGAGACATATGACACATTTTCCTTGTGTTTGGCTTAATAATAATTCATCGTATCGCATTTTTTTATAAATTACATGTATGAAAAACAGTAAATTAAGAAGAGTCAAGGTTTGTTTTTAAATTACATCTATGAAAAACAGTAAAGTAAAGAGACAGTGTGAGGTCAGAACAATATCCTATACATCTCTCGGCTCGCAAAAAAAGAGGGGATCTTGTCAATTTCCCAATTACTTCAAAATATATGGAAAACATCTTGACGCTTTTAAACCTTCCATCCTCTCTCCCTCTGTTCTCCACCTACTCCTTCCTCCTAGCCCAGGGGTGGGCAACCTTGGCTCTTTTATGACTCATGGACTTCAACTCCCAGAATTCCTGAGTCAGCATAGCTGACTCAGGAATTCTGGGAGTTGAAGTCCATGAGTCATAAAAGAGCCAAGGTTGCCCACCCCTGTCCTAGCCATACATTATCTCCTGTTTCTCCACCCTTGTACTTCCCTTTTCTGCAAACTTGGCAGAAGAGCTGGGGAATCTCACCAGAATAGACTTATCCGAGACATTTTGTTCTCTAAGGAAGAGAAAAAGGCAAATAGGAAGGTAGTGCAATCTCTTTTCAATACTGCAACAGGACAGACGTCTTTCAATAAGGGAGTCAGCATGATGGGGTTTTTTTTCTGGGGCGAGGAATCCTCCTATGGTAATATGGAATACTGTACAGCAGTTTCCTATAATCCCATGAGGTCACTCCTCCTCTTCCCGTATGTGCTGCTGCACGAGAGGTTGGCTTTCTTATTGGAATAAAACAACGCGCTTGCCACTACGGATTAAAAATAGAGCTTAATGCACTTGACAGAAGTTGATTTTGGAGTTATGTCAAAGTAGCAGAACCTCTTGCCAATTTAAGACTTAATTCTATTTCTTTAGTTCTAGCTCTACAGAGAACTAGATTTTTCTCCCTTACCGGTCTATGAACTGGTCAATTATAATGAGATCTCCAGGCTGAATCTCTTCTCGTAATGAACCACAGGCAGTAGTCACTAGTAGATGGGTGCAACCTTCTTCTTTTAGTGCCCACATATTGGCACGGAAATTGATATTTGTTGGCATGATAGAGTGATGTCTCCCATGCCTGGGGAAAGAAAAGAGAAAAGGAATCTGGGTAAACCTAAAAACACAATATAAAAAATGGAGAATAACAGACAAGCTATTTGGGCAGTTACATCTGCACTGCAATCAGGAATCAATACAGCAAATCATGATTTGCTCTGACCCATTTAAACTAAAGATGCTCAAGCCTTTTCAGGTTAAAGGTTCATATCTGGCCTTTTTGAGTGACAGGACAATAGACACCTTCAGAAAGCAATTTCATTTCATTGCAATTACATTGATCATTTGTTGAAATGATTCCCCAGAGCACTTTTCTCAGGGTCTTTTGAGTTTCACTGGAGCTACGGATAAATTATCCCAACCTGAGTTGAGCAGAATACTGGACACCAAGACCAGGGTGAGAAGTTAAACTGGGATCTAAACATGGTGGCCCCTTGTCAAAGTCCCTGAGCTCAATTATTAGTGCTTGATGCTACAGCTATAATTTGAAGCACAGGAAAAAAAAGCAGCTTTTTGAGTAAGGAAGGTAGCAAGGAAAAGCTTTCAGAGTGGTCAATCCAGAATCTTCAGACTGTCTATGTTACTCACCTTGCAAACCAGATGTTAGGTTGGCTGGAGCTAGGTTGAGGCAAGTAACTGGCACTCATCCTATTGCACGGCGCTCAAGTCTTGAACCCGGGCTGTCAGCTTTCTGACAAGCTCAATGTCTTAACCACTGAGCCATCGCGTCCCCAGTTCAATAAAGTGTATAATCCTGTATTTGGAGGAATTTTATGAGTAACTGATAATCCTCAACCTTGAGATGGGCAATTCATGGGAATTATGCAATTTCTTGTGAAAGTTGCTGCTTCCCACCACCCATACTGTGCCTTCTATCAGCCGCCTGATTGGTGAGCATCTAGGAAGCCAGAAGAGATTATAGCACAAGGAAACTCTAGCAAAACTCCTCCGTAGCCTGCCAAGCAGTTGCCAGTGCAATTTGCATTGTTAGCAAGCTTGAAGGTTTGGCTTGATTATAATAAATGGTACATCACGTTTTCTAATGCAACTGTAATTCACGTGTTTTAAAGGAATTTCACCTACCTGGATAGAAGCACACAGTCAACATTTTTTATCTTTCCTGAAATCAGTGCATCTGATGGCTGGAATAAAAAAAAACCAGCACAAACAAATATTACAGAGGCATCATAAAATTCCACCAACAAATCACAAAAATCTGATTTGCCACTAATGCAGGATCAAAGTGGAAATCCATTATGGAGCACAATCCTACGCATTAAATCACACATAGAAATAAATCTCAATAGGTTTTGATAGACTTTGCTGCCAGCCAATATTTGATATACAAAAAAACAATTGCAAAGTCATGTTGTACATTCTTCAGAATATTACAATTGCAGAATCAATAGCAGCCGGCCACTGATCAATAATGGCTATTCTGGGAACTGACTGCTTGGGTTTCTTAGTGAATGCTATGGTAATAATTCAAAGTACAGAACATCCCTGGAAAAAACATCCATAAGTAGTATGGAGATTAGCTCTGAATCTGTGAGAAATATTTGTAACTAATGAAGAGGACAGTAGCTAATAAATCTGAAATGAAGTCACACTTTGTGAATACATCTCCCCCACTAAATATACCCAGTATGTACAAGCCTTTCATGCGTACACAAGGTAAAGAGCTGATTTCAGGGATCCACAACCAGCTGTCATTGAATCAGAGCCATTTGCCAGGAGATTAGAAATAATTTGGGCACCCAAAGACACATGGTGGACATCACTCAAAGAACTATACTGTTTTATGACTTTCTTATCTTTCTTCATTCAACCCTTCCAAGCGTTAATCAAGCTATTTTAAAAATCCAATCAAGCTGCAAATGTACAGGGTGTTTGTTCATAGAAACCTATGAGAAATTCTTGGAAATATGGGTCAATCTCATGTGTTTTCCCTAACACACTATATATACGTGCAAAACAACATGACTTAGTTACCTATACACACCTTTCCGTATGGCGTATCAATGTATTTCTCTGTTCGACCTTCTAATATCTCAGGATCGTCCAGACCAGTCCCTCCGATAATTCCAATCTTCCAGAGAAGAAATATAGATTAGAAAAGGATAATTATTTTCGTGAATGTACCACTAATATCACAATTTCTTTATTGCTTTATTTATTTTGATAAGGCTGTCTAACACACCTCTTTACTTCCTTAATCCCTAATGGAGGACAGATGGAAAAAGTACTAGAAACAGATGGCCATCAAGAGTTTCTACAGGGTATTCGTATCCAAACAGGCACAGTAGCACACTTCATTCCCTTTGTAAGCTGCCAGAAGCCCAGAAGAACAAATCCAACAACAACACTAAGGGGGACCAGACCTGCCCCCCTTATCTCCGGTCTTGTTCTAGATTGCCCAATCAACCCCATACATTTAGCAACATTGGTAAAGTTTTCATCTGATGAACAAGAAATCTCTACTCCAAAAATGGCAGTGCTTCCAGAAGCCTTTAATGCAGTCTTTCCTAAACCCGACATATTCTAAATATGTAGACTTCAATTCCCAAATATCACACATCTCAGAAGCATCAAGGTTGGAGAAAGCTCATATGTAACATTAGAGAAGTAGCTTCTGAATCTTTCTACTGCCTGAGACAGATGGGTAACCTTAGTCCACAGCACCTCACCCATACCTCTCAGGCCAAATCGGGACCCATGTTTTTGATTAGTTGAGGTCTTCAACCTTATTTTTTTTTAAATTTATTTGCCGCCTATCTCATCATGAGGCTACTCTAGGTGGCTTACAATAAGGACACAGAGGCTTTGAAAGAGGTCAGGTGTCTTCCAGGTGCTATTGTCAGTAGGGACAAGAAACGTATTTCTAAAATAATCAAGAATGGCAGCAAGGGCTGTGATGTGGAGGCTATTGTACATCTTGGCACTAACGATCTGTCCCAAAAAGATGTACTCTCTGTGCAGAACGATCTCCAGAGCTTGGGGAAGGAACTTAGCAGAATAGGCTGTAGGCTTACTTTCTCAGAGGTTTTACCAGTGTATAAGGAGCAAAATGGAAAAGGCCAGCACATAGCACAATTCAATAGGTGGCTAAAGGAGTGGTGTAAAGGGGAAGGCTTTGGATATATTAGTCATGATGTCTGTAGCTGGTCCAATGAAAAGATGTACAAAAGAGATGGTTTGCATCCATCAAAGAAAGGGACTGAGTTACTCAGCTATAAATTCACAGATTTTCTGGAGGAAAATTTAAACTAAACAGCGGGGACAGTGAGTTAATTGATACAGAACAACCCTGTCCCCGGCAATCTAAAAATTATAGGGCTACCAGTGCATGTAGCATAGATGTGTGTGTGGACAAGAATACCAACCTTGCTGTC